TGGTCTCGAACTCCTGAGCTCAAACAATCTGCCCGCCTCGGCCTCCCAGAGTGCTAGGATTACAGGCGTGAGCCACCACGCCCGGCCCTATTGTTAGTTTTTTTGATAACTCTTGAATTTATGATACTTTGTTACGAATATACTGTCATTGTCATTATGTGGCAAAGAGCTTGTAATAAAAATAAGAAGTACTTCGGCTCTGCTAATTTTTTAACCTATCCTTGCAACATTGTTATTTTTGATCTATGATTTTGAAAAAATGTTTTAAATTAAATAGTCTTATAAAAAGCATAGTATGTCTTTAATTAATCATACAAAAAGCATAGAAAAATAATATAATGAACATCCATGTACCCACTGCTCACCTTAAATAATGTATTACACAAACACCCTACAAAAGTTTTTTCAGCCACTTTCCTATTTTGTGAGGACTTGTTAAGATACTACTAGATATGCATAAATCCACTTACCTGGGCACATATAAATTTTAGAAGCATTGCAGGAAGCTAAACAGCACTAATAAATGATGCCATTGTGATGATGGCAGTGAGAGCACGGCCATCCTCACACTTGAAACTTCTACTCTCCTTTTAGATAACTGAGTTTACTGCATACAATATATAACCATCTTCCTTGCAGACTAACAAGGGTGCCAGTGTCAACCATGTATGACGTAAGTTTAATTTCTAATTTTTAAATACTAAATATAAATTGGAATGTTTTTTCACCACACTAGTGGATTATTTTACATAACCTTCTGGTATTCCAGCAGCGTGATCTGGAGGTCACTGCTCTAAACTATAAACCCCTCAAAAGCAGGGATTTTATTGAATTCATCATTATAACTATGCTATGCATAGAACATGTAAGAGGAGCTCAATAAAATCTGCTGACCGAGTGAAACTTACAGAATTTTCTGTGATGTTTGAAGGTAATGTGAAAGTTTGCAGTGGATATATATTATCTACTCAGCTTGCATAATTTTTGATATTGTGCTGGCATTTGTTTAAGATTCTACTGTTATGAGAAGAAAACGAATTGTCGAAAATAAACAGAAAAGTCTTTTAGAGAAGAAAAGACAAAACCCTGGATCTGTAGGACAGAAGTACAATAAGCAAATGAATGTAAGTACAGTATTAATAAAAATCTCTATTCAGTTGTGAATATTGCTTGGAAAACAGAATGTTCTTACAGGACTGTGCTATAAACTGTATACCACAACATAAATATAAATATATGTGAAGCAGTCTTGGAATCTTTATGCTAAGAGTTTATTATACTATACCCATTTGCTACATTCTATAATAATTAGTATATAATCAGTTACTAATGAAGGTTTTAAACCAGCTTTAAGAAATCACTATTATTTTTTTTGTTATTAATAGCCAATGCTAGAAAAAATGAGGTCATTTATAACAAAATTCAACAAAGTTATTTTAATATACATTAAAAAAGAAAGGTAAATTAGAGGCATACATAGAGGAAGCAAGCATGCTAATCATAAAGACTAATATAGTTCCATGTGATTGAATATCCTATTTGGATCTGAGCTTCCTGGAAGATATGGCAAAAAGGAAAATTGGATGACTTATATAATTCTCAGTGGGTATTGATAATGATGTTGTTTTGGATATAATATTTTAAAAGACATTTGTCATTGAGGACCTATTATAGGGGACTTTGAAGTAAATAATGAATATGTTCCTAGTAACAGTTCAACAACAAATGAGTAGAGTTTCACATGGCTGTTTGTGATAGAAATCTTCAATAAAGACCAAAAGCATAATAACAATTTAAAAATAAGTAGAGGCAATTCTGTGAGACCTAAGTAAATGTGGTCTAAATATGACATTTTCTATATGTCTAACTTGATCCAGGGATTGACTTTAAGAATATTAAGTCTTTATGGATAAGTAAAGAACATTTCACTTGGAGTTTCTACTTTAAATATCACTTCGGATTTTTTAAATAGAACTTGAATAGGTGTCTTATGAAGAATTTATATTCCAAGTTATAGGTTGAGAGTCCTATCATTTGTATATTATAGGAAGTAGTGATTTTTATATATATTGATAAGATTATTATTATAATATGGAGAACAATCAACTGTCATCTAATCTTATGAGCAAAACAAATCATTTAGTTATATATTTATGAAAATAAAGTTAGTCACATTACCAACATACTCTTATTGCTTAATAACATAGTACTTAATTACAAAAATAACTTCCTGGTTACAAATATAATAGTACTTCTATTTTAACTTCCATATTTTTCCCATTAAACATCTCAAAATCCATAAAGTGAAAATATCTTTTACCCTTATTTTTTATTTTTATTAATATTTTTTAAATTTAAAAGTACTATATAGTTGCTATAACCAAAAAGATAAACTGAATTCTAAATGCCTGTTATTAGTGCCCTCTCTAAATTTATTCTTATTTTACTAGGTCTTATTCTATCCTATCTCTTGCTCCTTTGCATTCTACCTTACTGTCTTCAGAGTCCACTTTTGTCCTCCTTTCCAGAAGCCTCACTTCCACTTTCACGCACACATATTCCACTCACACATCTGCTTACACATCTTCCAAAGTCTTGTTAGTCTTAGAATAGGTCAATGATCCTGAATCAAAATTTTTCATTCTTATTATTTTGTTTTGTTTTGTTTTGTTTTTTATCAAATGACCATTATGCCACTTATTATTTTGTTTTGTTTTTTATTCTAGAGCCTAACCAAGGGTTCAGTTATTACAATAGTGGCCCTTGCCACCTTGTATTGGGAAATGTATTTTATCATAGTGGATTTTCTCCAGCCCACCACTTATTTGTGGAGAAAATCTAACGAAAGGTGGGAAAAGCACAATTGCCGCTTTGCACCAGGGTTTCAGTCCAAGGTATCTCATGTCTATAGTGGAGATCAGGCAAGACTATGAGAGCTATTGAAGGAGAGGTGTTGCAAAAATCAGCAGTTACTCTTCAGATCAGACTGAACAAAGGTTAAGTATAATCATAGCCAGGCAGTTTTATCTAAGAGAAAACAATCATTTCTTAAAGTGAAACAGAATAGGAATAAAGAAAGGAAGTGGATCATATCCAGGGAAGAAGAGATGGTATATCTCAGAAGATGTTGAATAGGTGCACTTATTGCCAGAGCTCGGAGATTTCCCTTTTCCAGGTTCTATGCAGCATTGGGTCAGCCATTTCTATTTTAAGTTTTGTCAAATAAGATACTTATCTATCCTTGGCATTAGCCATAGTCAGAGGCTTTTGTCTAGTGATTCACCCTTATAATGATAAACCAAGTAGGTTATAAACTTTAAAATAATTTCTTATCTTTCCTTTAATTAGCACTTTTGATTGCCACCCAACTTACTTTACCTCTTCAAATATCCAAGACAACAGTCAGAACATGAAATTTTTTTGGTGAACATAAAAAACTT